GGAATCTTGATTCATTTTTGCGAATCTGAAGAATTGAGGATCTTCGACAAAGTTGTCCAGAGAAGAAAAAATTTCAACTGAAAACATCTTTTAAATCTGGTCCAAACTCCTACCACATTCTTGATCTCTAGTGGATCAACAGGGTCCTTGAAATTTGCTTTCTCACTAAGCTCTTCAAATGCTTCCACAAGATTCTGAAGCCTAGCAACAAACTCAATCAAGAGTGATGCAAACGTTGCAAGAGACAAAGAGCTTGCACTTTCATATACCTTTGATTCCTGTTCATCGAGTATGAAACCCCCGTTAAAAGGTAGATGCAGCCAGGACCTTGACTTTCTGAGCGTGCTGTCTGAGGAAAATAAATCTGTAATGGGAGGTTCCATGCCTGAAATAGTATTCTGAGCACTCAATATTTCACTAATAGATTGAGTCGTTTTACTTCCATCTTCTTTAATGTCAATAGACGTATCAGGTTTATTTTCGTCGTTTTTGATTTCAGGAGCGATATCAGATTCTTGAAATTCTTTAGGTTGTGTAATAGCTGCCCAACTTTCTGAGTTGACAAGAAGGTAAGAGTTTCGATCTATCTTCATTTGCAACAATTCTGTTGCCTCATGTACTTCTTCAAGTATGTCTACGGGCCTTAATTTCTCCATTCTTTCAACTTTGTCACCAAGCTCATGCAATACTTTAGCTCCTTCATTGCCAACTCTTTGAAGTTCATTGCTAAAAACTTGTCTCTTTTCTGGGGGCGCCTGCACATGATGATTTTAGCGATCCCATTGCATAAATATATAGGTTAAAGAAAATTATGATCTATCAATACCATAGAGATACAAGATCAATATAATCAAAGACTTCTAAAGATGAACTGATGTACTTCGTATCTTCTATTCAGAAAACATATTCATAGGGGTTGATGGTAAGAATCTAGGTAACACATCAAGAAACAGTGTATTAATGAAAGGTGAAAGAAAAAATTGAAAAGCCACTCACCTGAATCTCTGAAAGTATGCATCCATGCATAGCCATCACCATAAATGCACAATGCCTCAATGCACCACTAACCTTGACATAGCATCTCCATGGATAATTAAATGACTTATAGGGGCCATGAGGTGGCTCCCATATGGCAAAGTCTAGCTGAAAAAAACAAACATCAACCCAATACCATTTCCTTAAGGACATGGGGGAAAGTTCTAGTATGAGAAACTGAGAGAATAATACCAGAGTCTCTTCTTGGCTTGTAGATTGTACAGCTGATCTGTACCCACTGTATAGTGGGTCATCTGAAGCTTGGTATGTAAGAATTTTTGAAGGGATCCTCTCATATTCGACACATTGCAGATACCCATTAACGCATCCTGAATTAAAATCCAAAATAAGTGATTAAAAAGGACAACAAAACGTCAAAACTCCAGCATTGATTTGGATCTAACCTTCCAAAGATTGAGCCACGCCCTTGAAATTTTTAACCACCAACTTGTGTAAATCTTCCCCTGCCCAGATGGGGTATATACATATATTTACAACCAAACATATGCCAGCCCCAACAGCAATCAGCAATAATCGATAAAATGCTGTCAAGAAGAACTTTCTGCTCGTACTTCCAGACACCAAAACAATACAGTATGTCAACAGGAATACCCGAAATCCATACTCGTAGGATTTCATGGTGGGGTAAAGCTTTGCATAACTTGTGCAGAATCCTAAGAACCACAATTTTTTAAAAAAAAATAAGAAATATGAACGAAGAAGGAAAATTTGAATGAAGATACATGCGAGTGATATTGATCGGGGACCTGCTATGAAAATACTGACGATAATAAATACTTCTTCATACTCTCCTGCCAAGATAGAGAGCTCGGCAATGCCCAGAGCAAGTCCTCCGGCAGAAAATGTTCCCAGGGCTCGATTGAATCCTTTGTTAAGTGTGGCACCTACTTCCAAACATCAGAAACACATATTGTCATGGTTGAACCAAGCAAGTCTATAAAATTTGAAAGTGAGGGATGTTAGACAGATCAAAACCAATACCTACGCTGAACTCGAAAACGACGACAACAGTGAGAATCGCCCAAATCGCATACTGGTTGACTTCTTTTAGAGGTTCTTTCAGGAATATAACGAGCGATGCAATTGTCAGTGAGAACCCCATCTTCATGGCGAAAAACACTTTTCGAGGATCTGAACGACCCATTTCAAAGAACTTGATGGCGACATCAGGCAAAACATTACAAAATCTGATGATTCTATCAGAGCATGACTGAAAACACGTGTATTTCGTCCCAACTCCATTGCTAGCTGAGCTATTGAGGTTAAATTCCGAGTACTCTTTTCTTGGTAGTAGTCTTTCCTTGCTTATCTCTTTAAAGCTCTGCCCAGATATCTCGCTTTTCGCAACCATGTCTTCATGATAGCAGGGGAAAAAGAAGAAGAGGACTTGTCAAGAGCCATAGTAACATAAGAGAATGCAGTTTATGTCGACAACAAAAAGTACATATTATTATAAACAAGACGAAAAATATAAGAAATTAGATCAAGTATATATAAGTATCTTGCCTTGCTTGAGAAAACTGGAATTATAACACAACACGTCGAGGAAAGTATAAACTGTAAGTAACCCTGCATTAAATATAAGAATTCGAAGAAAGGAAGAAGATGAAATGGCTTCATGATGAATTGAAGTATTGTTGGGGACATAGCGGTTGGTCAAAACGGTTTCATGGCCATGGCCATGGCTGTGGAGGAGAAGAGGAATAATTAGATGAGAGTGGTAGGAGCCAGAATCCACATGGCAGCAAATGATTGGTTAAAACAGTGGCCAATTATTCATGGCGTGGCTCCATCCTTTCATCATTTGCGTTAGGGTCGAAGAGGACGGTAACGCCAAAGTCACATTGCTTTACTAATTATAACTTGGTTTATTTCGCAAGGAAAAGGAAATTTGATTTTACGTACTTAAACTAAAGTTTAATTAGAAAACAGAATGCATTCTCAAAAAAAAACAAATAAATAAAATAATGGAAATTTGATGTGAAACTCGAGTAGGCAATTAGGACACATTGTATACATCTATAAGAACACACACACATATATATATATACATATATATAATATCTCCTGCTTAAGGACAAATGAATGATCTTGATACCAGAGGTAACATTTTAGAATTTGTTGATTGGTAGGTGGTCATCAAAATAATGGATATAAAAAATTCTAGAGACAATGGAAACAGCTCGGTGGATTGAGTTTTATCAAGAATTATATATTAATTAAAAAATTAAAATTAGTTTCTAAATTGTTTAATCTTCAAAATTGAAAAAAATTAAATCAATTTCTTTAATAAGTTCTTCTCTACTAATTAGTTCTTAGTTCGATTCTAAATAAATTTTTTTTTAATAATTTAATAATGTTATAAAAATGAAAGACGTGGAGAAAAATGAATAATTTTATAAATTTATAACTGGAATCTAACATGTTAAGTTAAATTAAATTTTTTTAAATTGAATAATAATTTATATTCATGACCAAATATTTTATTTTTTTAAAAAAAAAATTAGAATTTTTAGTAAGAATAACTTGTACAATTACTATCTTACCCATTTTAAATAAATGATAATAAGCTATTTACCTAAAAAAAAAAAAAAATCTGGCAAGATTCATGTGATTACCCTTAATGGATCTTCTTAAAAAAAAAAATTAGAATTCACGCAAGAGATTAACAGTATAGGCAACATGCCTATGAACTGAAATGGGTTATTGTTTATTGAAATATTATTAATATGTTTTGTAAAAATTTTCTTAAAAGTTTCTTTAAATTTAAGGACTTCTTTATTTGTGATAAACTTTATATGAATGATTTTTTTTTTATATGAACAATTTGATATAATTATCTTTAAATGCTTTATTTATTATAAATATATAGCACATTTCCTTAATTAAAAAATAATTTTTTTATAAACATTCTATACTATTGTTTTGTCCTATTTTTATAGAGATAGTTTTGTTATAAACCAAAATCGAAATGTTACTTTGACCAACATGAGACAACTATCTCCATCTCACTAATTAGATCCTGTCCAAGAAACTATTAGGGTTCTTAGACACGAACCCAGATGCTTGATTGAAGAATGGATTGAGAAGCGGAAAAGAGAAGAAAAAGATGGATGAGAAGAGAGAAATAGAACTTAGGAATAAGGAAAACAGTGAAGAAATTGGAGAGAAAAAGTTGGCTGATGATTCTGTAAACTGTTTCTTCTCCGTTCCCATCTTAATTTTTACTCCGCTAATTACGAGATTTAATAATGAAAACACGATTCAAATGAAATAAACTTGTAATTAAACTCATTCTGGGATTTTAGAGTTACAGCTTTACCGTGCTGATGCATGCACAGCTTCCTCTGCTCTCAACTCCCTTTTAGCTCCTTCTGCTCTGCTTATTTTCTTCACTCTTCCTGTCGAATCTGCTATTGGCTAAAGAAGATATAAATTTAAATACATATACATATATGCATACGTATAGATATAAACAAAAAACAACCTATACTAAAGAAAATATGAAAGTGAATGGAGGCCACGGGCCATAATGAGGTAACGAACGCAAGAGAATAATATAAAATAGTAGTTGAATTTTGGATGTTATACCATAATGTTAATAATTTCTGCATAAAAAATCCCCAGACACAAGGCATGCAGAAATTTTCATGGGTATAAATCTCCTTTATTCAACGTATATATATATATATATATATATACACATATATATATATATGTCATACGTTTACTATTTTGGGATTATGAAAACCCCGAGTTGGATAATAATAATAATAATACATTTTTAGTATCAAATCTCTACATGTCAATTTCAAAGGTTACGCTACGGGTCGTTAACCGGCCCAACGGCTTACGATAAAGGCAATCAATGCTAAGGGCCATCATCCCGTGACGGACATGAGAGGGCGATGCCAATCATTTCACCACCTGAATAAAGTGAAATATGGACCCAACCAAACACATGATTCATGCACCCTAATAATCTTCCAAATTTGCCCTTTATTCTACCATATTCAAATGCAAATTATAATTTACAAAATTAAAAAAATTTAGTTTCCTAATTGAAGAGAAAATTAGTTTGAAGGTAGGTGTCTCAAGTTTTGAGGCTGAAAAATTTAGAGAGCCCAGCCCAGAGACCATCAAACCTCGACCTAGTAACCTGTTTGTCAAAATCAGGTTCTGCAAAGTCCGCTTTCTCGCTCAGTTCTTCAAATAAGTCAACAACACTCTGGAGCCTAGCAACAAATTCAATCAGAAGCGAAGCAAATGTGGCCAATGACAACCCACTCGCACTTTCGTAGGTTTTGGATTCATCTTCCTCCTCCGACTCATCAATTAACCTACTCACCTGCAAGGGCCACGAAGCTTCTATCGCACCAGGAATTGACCTCAGGTCAAGCACAGTTTCGCTTAAAGACTTCACACCCAATTCAATGTTCTCATTGTTGTTTGTGCCTGCAAATTTTTCTGGCTCTTCCAGTTTAGGTCGTCTTCCAATTTCCCAGCTCTCTGAATTTACCAGAAGATATGATTTTTGGTCTATCTTCTTCTGTAACTTCTCGGCTGCCTCATGCACAGATTTGAGTATGTCACCAGCTGGGTTTAATTTTTCCATTTTTTCTAGTTTGTTTCCCAGCTCGCTCAGAACTTTCGCACCTTCTGTTCCAACCTTCTGGAGCTCACCGGCGAACACCCGTCTTTTCCCTGCAGGAGCCTGACATGGAAGATACAAGCTCCAGCTCTTAATAAAGTTGTGCATTAACATTAAAATCATACCAAAGTATTTCAAATTTAAACCTGTATTTCTGAAAGAATGCACCCATGTAGAGCCATCACCGTGAAGGCGCAGTGCTTTAGAGCATCGCTTAGTTTGACAAAGTTTTTCCATGGATAGTTAGAGATTCTATAGCGCCCATGAGGAGGTTCCCAAATAGCAAACCCCAACTGCCAAAAACGATCCATAAGAGATTTCATTAGTTATTCTTGATTTATTGAATTGCACAAACTGATTTACAGTACCAGTGTCTCCTCTTTGCCTGTAGATTCCACAACCCAGCGATACCCATTGTAAAGAGGTTCATCAGAAGCTTGATATGGGAGAATCATTGATGGGATTCTCTCGTATGAATCACATTTCAGATACCCATTTACACAACCTAAAAACACTAAACTACTTCAAACAAGTACTGAAGAAATTGAATATCTATTTTGGGAGAAGGGTAAGAAAGAGGGAGAGTAAAGCTAATTACTACCTTGCAATGAATTGGAAACGTCTTTGAAGTTTTTAACCACCAAATCGTGCAGAGCCTCGCCTGCCCAGATAGGGTAAATGCATATGTTTACCACAAAACAAACACTAGCACCCAGTCCAATCAGTACCAGTCTTGTTACAACTGCCTCGCTATATTCCCTGGTTCTGTTCCCAGCTACCATAAGTATGCAATACGTCAATATGAACACTCTGAATCCATATTCATATGGCTTCATTGTCGGGTAAAGTTTCAGATAAGATCCACAAAACCCTGTCAAATTCACAATATCAATACTGTATACCGTTTTCTTTAAGATATTTTAATGGAGATGGATACTTCTTGTAAAGTATAAAAAAAAAAACCTGCAATAAAGATACTTATGACAATTGCAACTTCCTCGAGCTGGCCAGCCAAAACAGAGAGCTCAGCGAAACCAAATGCAAGTATTCCGGCACAGAGTGTTCCCAATCCACGATTAAATCCTTTGATTAAGGTTGCTCCTGCTTAAAATGATTATAGTTAGTGATACATATAACCAATGGTGTATTGAAAATTGAAGATTTAGATACCTATGGTGAATTCGAACATGACAATGACAGTGAGTATTGCCCATATGGAGTACTGAGCAACATCTTGGTTCAAGCCTTTCCAGAATATGAGCAAGGAAATAGCTGATAGTGCTAGTCCCATTTTTGCTGCAAATATAACTTTTCGAGGATCGGACCGACCCATTTCCCATGCTTTTCTCGTAAAATCTTTCAAATCATCTAAACACTTGTTCAATGCTTCTCTTGTCACCTTCATAAAACCACTGCTCGTTTCATCTGCGCCATTATTGTTCTCTTCTCTTGAACTGCTTATAAGCAGCTTTTCGTTTGTACTTCTTGCCTCAAGGGATCCCATTTCATCTATACCCTTTCGTCTTTCTCTTCTGGAAAACGGGAACGTGAAGCATAGATGATAAAGTGGCGACTGTAAATTTTTTCAGGAGCTAGGCATGAGATTCTTCCTGCAGCTTAAGCCTTGGATCTAATGGTTTAAACACAACTGTAATTGGGCTAATGAATGCTTCTTTCGTCGGCTTTCCCGCTTTGGTTGCTCTCTTGGCCAATGAATATAAACATGTGTGTGTATATATATATCTTGTAGAGACTGCCGAATTCAATTGAAATAGCCATGTGCTTCACCGACAATTACAAACTTGTACGTAAATTGATGCTTGAATTATGAGTTGAAGGAACCTCTTTATTATCTTCTTCTTACACCATAATAGACAATTATAGATGGATACATGAGCAATAATTTACTATATAGTTGAAAATACATATATATATGTATGTGATATATTTATACATGTGTTCTAATTCTTTTACTTTCATCTTCCCCATAAATGGGAAGTCTTATTTGTGACGAAAGCAAGCAATTTACTTGAGATTATTAATCTATGTTTTTCAACAATACTCTTCATTGCTTGAACTTTTTCTCATCTACTCAGTGTTAGTTTTCCTTCTTTTTTCAACAATTAATTGACAACACATTTTGCTCAAACATTTACATTACATTAATTTCATACCCTCTTAATTATATTTGTTTAAAAAAAATTAATTCTTAAAACATCTATAATCACACCAAAATTAAAGTACAAAAAAAAAAAAACACAAGTATGATAGTGTGACTACATTTACCGATAAGATTGGTAAAAAATATTTCATTATGTAATTTGAAAATATATTATCAATATGTCAGTAAAATTATTTATAAATATACTAGCAAAGTTTTTCATAAATAATTTTTTTTTAAATATACATTAAATATTTTTTATAATAAATATAAAAAAAATTATATAAATTATCTTATAAAATATTGATAAAATTTAAGACACATCAATAATATTATAATTAAATTAAAAAAAATTAATGATATGATAAATTAAAAGAATTATTTTATACAATATAATGTAGCAGTTTTATTAATATAATGTCTGATTATCTAAAAAGTTAGTAAAAGATTAGGAGAAAGAAATCAATTTATAGTAAACGAGGAAATGTTTAAAGCATGAAAATGAAGTAGATATATAATGCTTACAAGTGAACAACGAGGAAACTTCCTACATGTTTGTTTTTTCTTCTTCTATTTCTTCTTTTTAAATTATAAATAATAATAATAAAAGGATGGCAACGTTACGCCGTCCGTTTTATTATTTCACGTGATGATACGCCTCATTTTGTTTCCTAAATGGGTTTAGATAACTTGTGAGATACACGTGGGCGGTCAAAGTTTTAAAGTTGCCATTGGAAACTCATTCTATATCTAATGCTTGATTTATCATAAAATTATTAAATTTCAATATTTTCTTCATAATTTAATATTTAATTTTTTTATTTATTTCACAAATTTTCTTTAAAAATATATATATATATAGATGTCTTCAAATTAAATATGGAACGACAATCTACAAACGCTTTCAATAAATTATCTGATCTCGTAATACTTATATTTTAAAATGAATAAATAGAATTTTATACTCAAATCCTGTGAACTAATTCATACTTTAAAAATAATTAAATTAATTTTTTAATACTTTAAAATTGTAAAAAGATAATAATAATATTAACTACTAAATTAATAATATTATTAAATTTATTCTTTATTGTTATAAAGTTATTAATTTAATTAGTTATTTAAATTTATTTTTTTGAATTAATTTTTAAAGTATTTAAAATTAGTTTAATTGTTTTAACTTTTTTCATTAAAAAAATAAACGTTTGAAGCAAACGTTAAGGATTACATTATGAAAAATATTAAGTTTTGAGAATTAATTTGGTTTGCCCTTTAATTTAATAAGAGTTCTAAGTGTTTTTGAAGATTAAAAAATTTCTAAAATTTTGAGAATAAATAATTATTCTAATTTAGAAATTTTAATCGAAATATTTGTTTTGCTGAAAATTGTATTGGGCACGTTGAGACTAAAAATTTCTAATTTTTGAAATAAAAAGGTAAATATTTTTAACATAATAAAGAATAAGCTTACCTATGCTAGTATGGGCCTTTGTCCAATAAAAAAACACAGACCAAATGTAGGCCAGTACAGGGTCCTTTTTCTTTACCATGGCCTCTTATCTCTTCTCTTATCCACTCTCATTCTGATTGTTAAAGTGACACCATGAACGCCTAAAACTCTCTCTCTCTCTCTCTCTCTCTCTCTCTCTCTCTCTGAACTAGGAGATATTATCCATGGCAATTCAGTCTGGTCTTAACACTGCTTTCTTTTGTTCTTCATTTCCTTCCCACAAACCCAGTTTATCTCCATTCAGAACCATCCTTCTTCCCAAACCCAAACATATCTCCATAGATTCCCCACTCATTTTCTCAAGAACTCGAAGAGCAGTCCCGGAGGCACTCACGGCTGAACCAGCCACTGAAACAGAAACTCAGCAAGAACCTCAGGTCCAGATCTTTCCTTGTCTTGGTCTAAAACTACATTTGCTCAAGTGGGTATGTGATGTAGAGGATTGTTGGTTTTGCAGGAAGCTAAGGTGACGGTGAAGCAATTGGAGAAGCCGAGACTGGTGCTCAAGTTCGTATGGATGGAGAAGAACATAGGACTAGCTCTTGATCATGTCATACCCGGGCATGGAACAGTACCTCTCAGTCCTTACTTCTTTTGGCCAAGAAAGGATGCATGGGAAGAGCTCAAGACCACTTTAGAGAGTAAGCCATGGATATCCCAGAAGAAGATGATTATACTTCTTAATCAGGCTACTGATATCATAAATTTGTGGCAGCAAAGTGGTGGCAATCTAAATGCATAAACTAATAATGCAGGTTACACTTTTGAATTTTTTTTTTATATCATTTTGTGTTGATTTGCTTTTCCTGCTGAAAAATCAGATTTTGGTGTTTATTTATTATTATACAATGTTACTGTCACTCCAACTGTCTTTAGAGGTCTCCATTGCTAGTTTCTTCTCTTGGAGCAAGCTAGACCGCAGTATTTTCTTGTATTATCAATTATGTTAGAGCTAATTAACTGACTTATATGTTATGGGACATTTACGGCCTTGCACAATACATTTCTCTCCTAGTTAAAAGGAGAACAATTATGAGGTGTTATGTAAAGCTCAAATCAAATATTAGATTTTAAAATTTTACCAATTCTATTTTTTAAGAAAAATTTTATTAATTCATTAATGCGCTTCGAGCATCAGTTATAATTTATTGTATATGTATCTCTATTTTCGTTGGCAAGAGATCAAACCGAGCATTGCAAAATAAAAGAATTATTGTATACTTCGTATCTTTAATCAGGTGATTTTTGTCATTATTTGTTATAAAAAAAAAAAAAAAAAAAGTAGATGGATACATAATCTCTGTTCATCCCTCTCTTCTAGTGATTTTAAAGGATTTTCAACTGTCCTTGTATAACTTTGTTGCCTAAACGAGAGGAAGAGTTTGAACCATACCTCTGAATAATGCATGAAAATATTTTCACAGTAAAATGCATACAAGTTTTAGAAACAAAAACTAAAAAATACTTCCATAAACCAAATAACCATAACATTCTTCATTAAAGTTTCCGTATACATCCTCTACTGCAATTGCAATGAACAGTTGGGCTTTCCCACTATCATTCCAGTAAAAGCTTGTCATTTACGTACTCTTACAGAAATGAACCCTGCACTTCCCTCTTTCTTCACTAATCAATAAACAAATCAAGGGTTTACTCTGTATACTTCCTATGCTTCTTCATCAAGATCCAAAAAGAGAAGGTATGCGACTAAGCCAACCACTGGAACAAATCTAAGATAATTCACTAAATCTACCTTGCTTTTCCGAACGCTTTGTAGGTTATCACCTATCAACCAAGGCTGAAATAGTGTGTAAAGACAAATATCCCAAATGAAAGCATAAGCCAGCCTTTCTGATCCCAGATAACTAATCAAGAATTGCCACCTATCAGATATACTACCGAAATTACTGTCTGTTCGACCAAAGAATGCCCATAATGCTGATATCAAACACACTACCCCACCAAGCAGCCCAACAACTGGTGCGCCATTTGTCATCACGGACCCTAATTGAGATTGCTTGCTTGAAAGGCGGTCTGCATCAGTCTCATTCATCCGGATAGCCATGTATGGTATTAGAAATGCTGGCATCGTGTAGAAAACATTGATTTTTGGTTAAATCTTAAATACATTATTGAATCCTGCAGGAAACGCAAATAACTTCCTGTCACTTATCAAGTTCGCAAGAAACATACTGTTTGTGAGGAACATCTGCAGGCCCCATAATACGTCTAGAGACCACTTGTACCTATCCCTCTTCCGATCAGTGAAAAGCAAAGGAGCAAACATGAATGTCCACCCAATGACAAAGTTGAATAATCCTTCAAACATCTGTTGAAAATGAGATGATCACATGTTCCAAATGGTTAGATTACTGACCAGAATAGAATACATGACAGCAAATTAAGTTAAGTCTCAAAAATCCTTACTGGGTGAAAAACAAGAGCCCTCCAATAAATGGATGCCAACTACTCTGCCAAAAATATCATTGCAGAAAAGTCCCAAGTAATCAAGGATGGGACAGAGCAAAATAATTTGAT